ACCCAAACTAATAAATAATAATGTGCATTTGATCAGACATGCTTGGCCAAAGAGATGTGTCTTTAATCTAGATTTAAACAGAGAGAGTGTGCCTGAACCCCGAACGTTATCAGGAAGGCTATTCCAGAGTTTGGGAGCCAAATGCGAAAAAGCTCTACCTCCTTTAGTGGACTTTGCTATCCTAGGTACTACCAAAAGTCCAGAGTTTTGCGACCTTCGGGAGCATGATGGATTGTAGCGTGGTAGAAGGCTAGTTAGGTATGCAGGAGCTAACCCATTAAGGTAAGTAAGTAATAATATTTTGTAACTGATACGGAACTTAATAGGTAGCCAGTCCAGAGACTGTATAATTGGGGTAATATGATCATATTTTCTTGACCTGGTAAGGACTCTAGCCGCTGCATTTTGGACTACTTGTAGCTTGTTTAGAGAAGATGCAGGACAACCAGCTTGCAGTGCATTACAATTGTCCAGTCTAGAGGTCATGAATGCATGAACTAGCTTTTCTGCATCAGAAACAGGTAACATGTTTTGTAGCTTGGCAATGTTTCTAAGATGGAAGAATGCTGTTTTTATAACATGGGAAATGTGATTTTGACAATATGAAGTTGCTGTCTAATATAACACCCAGATTTTTGACTGTAGATGAATTAACAGTGCATCCGTCTAATTGAAAATTGTAATATAAGAGATTCTGTGTACAGTTTTTTGGTTCAATAAGTAATATCTTTGTCTTATCTGAATTTAGTAGGAGAAAATTATTGGCCATCCATTCTTTTACATGTTTAACACACTCTGTTAGCTTAGATAATTTAGAAGTTTCATCTGGTTTTGTTGAGATATACAGTTGAGTATCATCAGCATAACAGTGGAAACTAATCCCATATTTTCTAATAACATTACCAAGGGGCAACATGTATATTGAAAATAGCAGAGGACCTAGGACAGATCCTTGTGGCACTCCATATTTTACTGGTGATAATTGAGATGACTCCCCATTTAAATAAACAAAGTGGTAGCGATCGGACAATATGGCACCTTCAGGACGTAGTGGAATGGAGATTTGCATCATGGATGTGCAACTGACAAATCCGCAGGAACTGCATGATGCTATCATTGACAAAATATCTAAGGAATGTTTCCAGCACCTTGTTGAATCTATGCCATGAGGAATTAGGGCAGTTCTGAAGGCAAAAGCTGTTCCAAACCGGTACTAGCAAGGTATATCTAATAAGGGCAAAAGGGTTCAAAGTGCTCACAGTTCAGTATGTATTACGGTTTTGGTACAGTTTGATTTGAGTTATTCTTAACGTGGTACTAGAAATTTCCACAAGAATACTATACTATCTGTGTATAAAAAAATGGAAAAGTTTTTTACTAGAAAAACATTTTAACTTACAAATACCAGCATTAATATACTACACCCAGGGCTAATTTATTAAAGAACAAATATTTTCAAATGAACGTGCGTGAAGGCATTTCAAAATTACGTTTTCCTTAAATAATCCTGGTGACCCTTTTTTGTCTCTTGATTTAATGTGTGCATTGGTGTGCACAAAAAATGTATCAATTAAATGAACTTCTTGTATCATCCAGGGGCGGACTTACCCATTAGGCAAAGGTAGGCGACCGCCTTGGGCCCCCAAAAGCCAAGGGTCCCCTAAAATGCTTTTCATATAGGATATGCGCATTAAGCGCTGACACGCGAACAGTTGCTGTTTTCGGTATTTATTACCATGACAACCATCCGAGTCAGTGGCGCCTGCATGTGTACGGCACTGTGAGTACCATGAGCGCTGGTGCACAAACATTTAATGAGCACAAACATTTCAGCAGTTATCATAGGGCTGTGTGTCCCATATTAATGTCGACTGAACCAGCCATACCATTAATTATGAATTTATCAGTCTTTTGCATGCCAAAGTCAGTTTCTGCATAGAAATATTACACCAAATTGAAGCAGAAAATCGTGCTATACTACGCACTTTCATGAGATCGGGCTAGCCTACAACAATTAATTTGTTGGGTATTTTACAAATGGGAATACAACGAATTCATGACAATGTTTACATTCAAGCTACCCATAAAATTTATAGTGAAAAGTAGTATAAAAGCGTCTGGAATGCAATAAAGTAATTTTAAAGCAGTTTTTAAAGCATTTGCTGCATGGGTAAAAAAAATTGGTTAATAAATAATTCACATAGGCCTATACAAATTTGCGTTGCAGCAAATCCTTTAAATTTTCAGGTATTCAGAACAGAGCAACATTATACAATTATAGGACAAAGTTTTACACATGCCATTATAATTTGTGTTTTATTTTTTAATTGTAGGGAATTTTTTTTTCTCCTTATTTTTATATTTTAGATATCCATATGGTGATGAAAAAAATTACTCGCCATCTCCTCATTAGATGTGCCTTTAGAGGGAAATGCAGGGATTACATAATGAAAGAGTTTCTATTTTCGATTTGAATTATTTCGTTTTAAAGTAGTAATTTAAAACTTTCTATATATTTTTATCGTGTCTGTGAGGCAATTCGCTGAGTTTAGGTTCATCATTGTGAAGTGCTCCTGTTCAAGACCGAGACGGCAGAAAGCGTTTGTTTTCTTTATTTTATAAAAGCACAACGTTTTGTCGATATTGTGAGTGCCCACAAATAAAACAGCCCCTTTACAGTTTAGAATGACGTATTACTCTTACCTTTATGAACAAAAATGACTGCATATTAAGTTGTTTCCACTGTTAGAAAAAAATGCAAGTGATCGCACTGACGCCTCCATGTCGAGCGCGCTTCAGCTTCCACTCTCCGCACAAACGATAGGACATGCGTCTAACAGCGCACATTTATCTAGGTTAAACACTTAAACTAACATTGTGATATGCTTTAACTGTTTTATATCTATAGATTTTATTTTAGGCAAGTCGTGATGATTTGAGAAGGCTAAATTGATCAAACATACAGGCTATGATCAATTCACTGTCTGCCGCTGGTCGTTAGGCTACTTTTAAAAAAATTACATATTAACGAACAAAAAAATGCTCCAAACATTTTTCTAAATTTACTTTATTAAAAAACTAAACGAAATATAATCACTTTTCCATTGCATACAAAACTGAACTGTTTTAATAGCTGAAACAGTAGTATAAGCTTTTTTTGTGAAAGGGGGAAAAAGATGGGCTAGGGCCTATTTGAGACCCGTGCAGGGCTCTAATCTACTTCATCCAACGCTGTTTTGTTCTCATCTGTGAGCATGATATATTGATATATGTATTTTACCATTTTGTTGAGTTTAAAACGTGTGACACATTCCTTCTGCTCTCACTGATCATTTACAGCCCCCCCCACACCATGAAAGAAATCCATTATAACATGTACATGAAAATGTAGAAACATTGGACACAACTATGGGGCACCATTGTGCAGCAGCAAGCATCACAACAAAAAAGGAACCTCAAGGTTGATCTAGGAAAATGTGTGAAAATGTATAGGGCCCCATTCCTATATTTTGCCTGGGGCGCCCATTCACTAAATCCGCCCCTGATATCATCAAAGAAAACTTCAAAATGACCATGGCACTCTTGTAAATAAAAAGCCTTTATTATCAGATGGCTACATCAAGGAAATCTAAAAACTCTCCAATGCGTTTTGGCACATGCCTTCTTCAGGGAGAGCAACCAACAAACTTAGCACAGGTGAAAGCAGTGTCATTCATTAAGTCATCTAATCATAGTCATGTGACCAACAACTCTCTATAATTTTAAACATTCACAAAACAGCAATTTACACACTCAAAAAGTACAGCATATTTTCATACTCAAAAATACTACTTCAAATAAATAAAGAAATAAAAAATTATTAAAATCCAAGTCCTCATTTAATCCTGGATACATACTGGCCTTTAATTTGTAAATCCAAAATGTCTCTCTTTGGTTAAGTTTAAGTTCTCTATTGCCTTTCCTAATAGTAATATTCACATGATCAATATATTATATTTTAAGGATTGAAGGATTACTTTTATGCATGAATTAAAATGTTTTGCCATAGGATATTCATCATTACCCCTCCTGATGGCATATTTGTGTTCAGCCAATCGATCCAGTAATCGTCTTTTTGTTCTTCCAACATAAAACACCTTACATTGAGGACACTCTAGACTATAAATAACATGGGTAGTTTGACAATTAATAAAATGTCTAATAGAATGAACCTAATTTGTATTTTCATCTAAGAATGTTTTACCCTGTACCACATTATCACAATGGTTACAGTGATGACATTTAAAACAACCCTTAGTTTTATTCCCTAACCAAGAACTTACACGGTTAGGTGGTAAATAACTATGTACTAATTTGTCCCCTAAGGTTGTACTTTTTCTAAAACTAATCACTGGAGGATCTGGAAATATATTTCTCAGCAATTCATCACTGAGAAATACCCCAATTTTTTCGAATACATTTTTCCCCCCAGCATTTGTGCTGTATTTTGTTACAAAATAGACCTTATCCGAATTTTCTACTAATACTTTTATTTGTAACAAATTATACCTTGTCAATTTTTTTGCCTGTCTCTTAGCTTTCTGAATGATTTCAAACTTATAGGCTACATCAAAAAGTCAAAAAGAGTTAAATGACAAACATAAACTTTCATATTTGTTTTGTGAAAATACATAAATATATTCACTGTTTGAAAAACCTGCAGACTAAAATTTCACATTTTATTTAAACTATTTAAATTGCAATGTTTCACAGTTATGACTGCACATCCACTTCATGGACCATATCAGCAGTTTTTATTGTACAACAGAATTTTATTGTACAAATTATATTTTATATTTGCATTATAAAATTCTTATTGCCATTCTAAAATATAATTTCATGACAGCGTTTATCATTCATATATGCTAAACATTTTAATAATTAAATAATGCTTTCAGGAAATCGTACAAACCATCAGCTCCAAATCAAAGTATTTTTTTAAATTTTTTTTTGGTCCACTAGATTTGGAAGAATATAATGCTCTCAATTAGGCAAAGATGTTTGCAATGAATTCTCGAAACCGCTTGGCGTATTGTTCAGGATGAACTGTAGAGATCTCAGCCCCAGCCTTTAAATAAAAAAAATTTAAAATGCAAAATGAAAAGAACAGAACCAAAAAAAATTGTAACATGTAATATCTATAATAATTATAATGATAATAGTATTTACAGCTCAGTTTATTCTTTTTACAATTAAAGTGTAATAAGCATATAACAATCAAATAACTACACAATTAAGTCTCAGTTGTCCATTCATAAAATGTTACTTACTCCATGCTTGACTGTTTTTGCTGCATGGGCTGCTTTCTTCTTTGTATACTGGCTCAGAATGTTTATTAGACCCATGAAGTATACCTCTCTATGTGGGGCACCTAGATTAAGGAGAGACAAACATAAGAATAATTAAAGCTGCAAACAGTGTTGAAAGGGCCCTCATACCCGGAGCCACCTCCACCTTAGGAAAACAGTGAACGGTGGACAATATGCATTTAAAGTGGTAAATATTGTATTTTATATGTGCAAACTTCCTGCTGCCAGTAGGACTATAACTGAATATTGGCATGTGAATGTCTTAAGGCCAGGATGTTTATCAAACATGTGAAGTTAGGTGCAGATTGAACATGGTATGTTTGAGTTAGTGTAAAACATGAAATATTCTGTTGCCAACAGGTGGCACTATGATTATAACTGAATATTGGCCTTTAGATGTGTTCAGGCCAGGACTCTTATCAAACGTGTGAAGTTTGGGGCAGATTGGACATTGCATGCATGAGTTACAACAACTTCCTGCTTCATGGCATTAATAGCATGCTTTAGCACTTAGTAAGTGTTGCTAGCATGTTTCTAGCTTGTTTAGCACTCAATGGTTTATTAAGTGTTGCTAGCATGTTTGAGCATGTTTCTAGCATGTTTAGCACTCAATGGTTTATTAGTGTGTTGCTAATAGTGCATCACAGTGTTAAACAGTGCCACCTACTGTCAACAGGAAGTCATGTAGAGCTTGACATGCAAATGATGTTGACCTATTAAACTTATTTACACTGTAGAGACTGGAATGTGACTCACCAACTGCGCTCTGGATGGCATACACATCAACATAAGGGTCAAACTCTCCTGGACCAAGAGGTTTATAAGAGCTCATGTACCCTGCAATGCCCTCAGGGGAAGTGCCAAAAGACCCCACAGCTGTAAGGGATAGGTCATTCGCTGAATCCTCCTCCTCTTCACTTAAAGAGTCCTTAATTTCTTCCGCTTCCTCTTGCTCTGCCCTCCCGACATCATGAATGCCCAGCAGCAGGCTGTAGTCCATGATCTTCAAACGCACAAGAAACTTGCCAAAACACAGATATACAAACAGACTATTAATTTCAGTATGTCCCTTATAAAAAGTAAAGAAAACCAGGTTGTTCTTCGTTATAAGTTTCTTGCTATAGAAAATAATATAGGTAGTATTAATTGAGCAGAACATATTATCATGCGCAATACAAAAAATATTTCCTCCTCTGCTTCATACAAGAGGGCAAACAGCATGTACGGTACAATTTCATATTTGTATACATAAAACCTATGAACCTTGTAAAACAAAAACCTATGAAACTATGAAAATATGAAATATAAAAACCTATAAAATATTTTGCTATTGGCAGAATGAAAATATTCCTTAAGGTTTTGGACACTGAGACATGCTTGATTCATATTTTCAGAAAAAAAAAGAAAGTGAAAGGGTTTATTGGGTGTAAGAATGACCTTGGCTTCTCAGTTTTAAAGTGGGTAAAAACTATAAATACATATTTTCACATATAACATAATACAGTTAAAAGTACATTTGAGACGAATGTAATAATATGTAAATTATATAATTAAATCCTCTCACCTCTATGTCCCTGTTCAGTTTATCCAAAAGCTTTTCTTTCTCCTCTTCACTGATGTACACCCGCTGCATGTTATTTCTGAAATCTACATCCTTGAAGGTTGGCAGTTCCTTTACCTGGGTTTTCAAATTATAAATTTTCAATTTTAAGAAAACAATGTCAATTTATAACTGGGAAGCATATGGCTTGACAGAAGGACACGAAGAAACATATTTAAGATATTCTTTGAGCACTAAATAACAGTTAATACAATGCTGCAAATGCTTCTTTAAAAGACAAAACTCTTTTAGATGTCAGCAAGAAAAAAAATTGAATATACATAAGAAAAAAAATCAAATGTAGTGATCACATGTAAACATAATTTCTTCAAGAAATACATGAAGGATCCAACATTTTATGCATTTGAAACAAGACAACAAGAAAAAAAATGCATACTGTCAGATCAGATCTCATTCAAATCTGATCTCATTTCTTTATATTGTTGGGAGACAAAGACAAGGATTACCATGCACTTTAGGATTCCGTTTAAGACTTTACAAAAACAAGATTTCCAACAAGGTGTCAGAAAATAAGAAGTCAAAAGCAATTTGAGGGAAAATGTGGAGTTATTAGCTCTGTAACGGGGTTGACGAGACGTGTGGATCCATCTGCAAGCTTTTATTAAAGAGACGTTGTAAACAGGCAGGGTCAAACAACGGCAAACAGGTATATGGCGGGCAAAACACAAGAATAGTCCTAGGGCTAGCGTAGGTCACCGATCGGCAGACAGAATCACAGGGGCGAGACGAGAGGGAAAAATCCAGGAAAACAGGCAAAGATCAGATGCCGCAGAAACAGGCAAGGCAAAACAAGGAAAACACGGAGACTCGGAAAGGGGTACAGGCTAAACATTACTCAGCAGAGAAAGGTGGTTAGAGTGGGTGTTATATAGTGAGTGAGGTGATTAGAAACAGCTGTGTGCAATGAGTGCAGTCAGTGCAGTGTGAAAACCGTACAATGAATGATGGGATATGTAGTCCGGGGTGCTATGCAATAGTTTGTGTTGTGCGAGAGTCAATGTAAAGGAAAGGGTGACCTCTGGTGGTGAATAAACGGAAGTCCATGGACCGAATTCGTGACAAGCCCCACCAGAGTGGCTCTTCCTACAATATTGCTTTCTAATGTACACTCCATTGACAATAAACTGGAATGTCAGGGCTGCGACTAAAAATATTAATTTGCGAGTGAAGTTCTTGCTGAGGTCGCCACTGGTGACTATATATATTTACATGTTATAACTTAAAAATTTGCATGTAATGCCTTTTTTCCTGATTGTTTTGCGATCACATCTTTTGTTATGTTCACGTATTAAACTGAGATGATGCGCATCAAAGTTTTAGTGGAAAAAAAGAGTTTCAAACAGTCCTCATCTCTGCAGCACAGCAGCGCTGACACACACCTGCTAAACGCAGCTCAGTTGTGCAGCGCGAGAGAGATCGAAATGACGGAGACGTGTGAAGTGAAAGTGAGAGTCTATTTCGTGCACAACTTGAAGAAACTACAACAGGTAAAGCTGTCAGCTGTGTGGATATTGGAAATATCGTTAACTATTCTCGTTTATAATAATTACTAATATGGCATCTTCTTATCAAGATCTTATAGTCTATGTTGTGTTAATGCGTGAACTTCATATTATTTGAAGCGCACTTGCCGTCCAGTAATCGCAAAAAAGCTTTGTGCTTTGTTACTTTTTAATAAACAAAGTATCATCTTTAAAATTCAAGGAAACGAAATTCAAACAATAAATATACATTGTTTTGGCGCTCTTTAATGCGGCAGACGTGATCGCTTTAGCGCCTCAATTCAAGCGGCAAGTGAACCCATCTTTCTCTTTACTACTATAGTACATAATAAACACGAATTGACATCAAAAGGTAGGCTATTTTATAAGAGAGCCTACAGTACAACTTACTGAAATGTCTCATGTAAAAGATTATTCAGTGTTTCAAATGGCGGAAAACGTGTAAAGCTTTTAAACATTGCAAGTAATATATACATTTACCTCAGAATAACCGTTCGGTGTCCATAAGCTCGTCAGTCAGCTAGAAAAATAACTATAAAGAGGAGCGTTCTGCTATATTTATGCACTATTGCATTTTAATATTTTTACTTAACCTGTTGTCTACATGATTCAACTCCAATAAAATTGCATTTTACTAATTACGAAAAACAGACTGAAAGTGTGAAAGACATACACTCTTAAAAATAAAGGTGCTTAAAAGGTTCTTTATAAAACCATTTTTGGTTCCACAAAGAACCATTCAGTCAAAGGTTCTTTAAAGAACCATCTCTTTCTCGACTTTTTATAATCTGAAGAACCTTCTTTCGCCACAAAGAACCTTTTGTGAAATGTAAAGGTTCTTCAGATGTTAAAGGTTCATTATGAAACCATTTAGACAAAAAAGGTTCTTCTATAGCATCTTGAAGCACCTTTATTTTTAAGAGTGTATGCAGAGGCGGACAGTAACTAAGTACATTTACTTGAGTATTGTACTTAAGTATCTTTATTCCAAAGATACTACAAGCTAGTCAGTGTATTCAGTAGGTGTAATGTATTGTAAGTTGCTTCAGAAGTATTGCAAGTATTACGTATAATAATAAAACAGTGCATTGACATAAAAAAGGAAATTTACTTTTGGTACTTAAGTACTTTTAAAAGCAAGTACTTCTGTACTTTTACTTAAGTAAAAATCTGTCTTTACAACTTTTACTTGTAATGGAGTAATATTTGACCAGCAGTATCTGTACTTTCACTCAAGTAATGGAATTGAGTACTTTGTCCGCCTCTGAGTGTATGACAACATTTACAGCATGCATTGAGGAGGAGCCCAAACTACACTCAGTGGCCAAGTGTTGCTTATGGTCCATGATATTGGTACAGATTCTGTGTAATGAACAATTCTTTGTGACTGTATATTTTGTTGGAAAAGACATTTAATTCCCACTTTAAGTGAACCTTAATTCCCAGGTCATCTACAAGATGGATTAAAATGCTGAGAAAGTCAAGAAAAGATGAGACATAAACACATGACAGTATGATTGAAATGTTAAAATGTAAAAAAAACAAAAAAAAAACACGTTTATTCTGTGGCCACCTAAAAAAAAATTTGGCACCTAAGTTTTTTCTTATAGGAGCCAATGGCTCCTTACTCGATTTTTTTTGTCTAGAGCCCTGAATGTATTCAGCTCTATCTGACTATACCAGCATAAGATGCATGTTTGTTTTAACAGAAAATGGCTAAATAAAAAAACATTTAAATGCGGGTTAACCTGCTTGTAAGAGCCATAAATTGTATAATTAAAAATGTAACACTAAATGCATAAATATTTAAAGGGGTCCTATTATGCTTTTTCACTTTTTCAACTTTAGTTAGTCTGTAATGTTGCTGTTTGAGCATAAAAAAGATCTGCAAAGTTACAAAGCTCAAAGTCCACTTCAAAAGGAGATATTTTATTTAACAGAAATCACTTTTCAAAAACTACAACAGACAACTCGTTTGGACTACAATGCATATTTTCTGGGATTTATGATATCACAAATATCGACGAATGGTACGAGACCTGGTTGAGCTGCACTAGAGAAGGCAACGAGTGTTATCACTATGTTGGAGACATGCTAGCTTTCTCAAGGCAGACAAACTTAAGAGTGGTTACAATCATCCGGGTTTAAATTGCGCTCAAATTGATTTGATATTTTAGCAATATTTACACTGAAGCTAGCAGGCAGCTATGGTAACGGGTATGACAATTCACGACCAGGCATTTCGTATTTCAGAAGGCACTTCATTTAATACAGGAACTATTCGAGCCGTTCATGCCAGACTGGGGAGAGAGGTGTTGTAATAATGTAAAATATGTGAAAAATAATGTGTTTTCGAAAAACCTAGTATGAGAGCCTGTTCTATTACACCCCCAAAACAAAATCAAGACTTTGTAAAAGAGCATAATAGGACCCCTTTAAGCAGATATTATTCAATATGTCTAGGTTTATGTTGTCTATGTACATTTGTTGAGAACCCCCTGTTTTGTTCTGTAATGGTTTGTTTTGTTTTACTATTGGACTGTCTTAAGTGCCTTTAAGAATTGATGTTTCCTTTAAGAACGTAAGAAAGTTGGAGTGATAGTTTTTGACCGGTGTTTGTTTGTTTGTATTGTGCAATAATTTTCAGTAAACAGTTTAAACTTGAAGGAAGTCAATTCTTTACACGAAAGAATCATGAAGGATTATTGCTACTACACTGCTACTGAGCAGACAGAGACACAACACTGACATTAAGACTCACAGGGGGATTTTTTTATGTTTATATTAACAAAGAATGGTGTAATAATGCTGCAGAACTCTCAAAACAATGTTCATCAATAGTTGAGTTTATGTTGAACACTTCTATCTGCCGACAGCGTTCATGGCCATTTTTATTGCCGCAAACTCCATTCACTAGAGATGCTCTCCAAGAACTGTACAGTGAGCAATAACCATTTCCATTTTTGCCAGTGATTCAACCCCAAAAACCTGAAGTCAGTATTGCTAAAATTTTACCAACATGTGAGCTTTGTAACAAGGGAAACAATGCATTGGACATAGTCTACAATAGTGTATCCCTACCCCGTTCCTGGAGACACACCAACAGTAAACTCTTACTAATCAAAAACATGATTCAACTCATCAGCTCGTTTGTAGAGACTACAAGGCCTTAAATAGATAAGGGAGACATCCAGAACGTCTACTTTTGGTGTGCCTCCAGGATCATTCTACAGAGCCAGAAAAGTTCTTCTCTGGTCCCCTGGCTGAGCCTGGTTTCTCCCAAGGCTTTTTTCCCCTCCAATCGGTCACCTTATGGAGTTTGGGTTCCGTGCTACTTTAGCCTTCTGGCTTGCTTAGTTGGGGTTGGAAAGACACTTAACTTTCAGTAATTTATCGATCATTGGAACTATTGCTTTCTGTAGAGCTGCTTTACAGCTGAATCACATCTTGCAACATCGACACTGGTATTGACTTGAATCAATTGAACTGATTCAAGCTGAATAACAAAATTGCTGCTACTGTCGAACTGCCTATAGCTGATCGATTAACTTCGATTAATTGATCTGAACTATCTTGAGCTAAATAATGACATTATTGCCTTTTAAAGCTGCTTTACAGCAGAATCGGAATTGTCTCCATAGCTGAGTATCCATAATTGTGTTTTCTATTTCCTGTTTATCATTGTGAAGCTGATTTGACAAAATCAGTATTGAATAAAGTCCAAGAAAGACTTGACATGACTTGACCTGACTTATCTTGACTTGCCAAAAAATTTACCAGGATTCATGAAATGGCAGAGGTCCAGGGTTCTTGCATAATTCAACCTCATAGTGGTGCTGTAATAATGATTAAAAGGCTCTACAGAACCCTTTCAAAGAGAAGTCAAGGCTATTGCGACTATTGTTCAATTGTGCAAATGATAGAATTAAGACATTCTTGTTCTCTTATCTGCATTCTTTGTTTCCTAGGTGACAGAGGTTATCCACTTAAAATGTGGCTACTTAGTCCCCTGCAAAACCCACAGACTTTGCAAGAAATGTGCTGTAATGCAGCTTATGCCTGAGCAAGGTCTGACCACACAATTCAATTGAAAAGATCGCTGGTTATACATTTACGTAAGAATAGCCAGGAACTCACTGCACCTTCAAACCAAAAGGTAGAACACTTGAAGGAAGTCTGCACACTCTTCCAAATAATAAGTCATCAAATGCAAGATAAAAGAAATACTTTACTGAAAACAAAGGGCAAATGTTTCGGTCACATGTGACCTTTGTCAATGCCAGGCTAACAAATGTTAAAGTATTGCTTTTAACTTTTTTTTTTTTTTTAAATCTTTTTGGTAGAGTGTTTTACCTCAATGCAACCTGCAGTATGCTCCCTAATGTGGTCCTAAGGCGAGAACTTGAACTTGACCGTGAGCCCACTTCTTTTTCACTTCATTTAAAGTACGGTCACTTGCTTTATTTACTTAAATTTTTACAACAATTGTTGCAACAAATTTAGTTTTACCACTGATGCCACTATGTCTGGTAAAAAAATCACTTTTTTCCAGTCTGTTTTCCTACTTCACTTACCATTATGAAGAATTCTGTTTCACTAATCCGTTGTCATATTGTCATTCTGCATTCAAACCATATTACCATGCTGTCAAACCATCTAAGAATGCTTGTTCTGTTGGTCAAGTTGCTGTAGGTCAACTGCTCATTCATGTGCGCATGATCCTAAAATTATGTATAATTTATATAGCAGAATGGATTTAAGAAAATGTATTTTTGTGCATGGATGTTTTAAAAGTCATTTGTAGGAAGATTTAGGAAATTGTCTTACGTTAACATTTATGATAATTTTAAACAAGCCACAGATTCTTCAATATCAACATACTTTTAGGAAAAAATTGTGGCAGAAATAAAAATAAACTTACATTGCATCTCATGCATACGTTTTATCAGTAAATGCGATCCCTGGGAACTGAACATATAATGTTGCCATAGCTCCATTCTCTGCTGTTTTAGGTAGTTGAACACCTGTTGTTATTTGTATGTTTCTAAACTTTGCTGTAAGTTGCTACAGAAAGCAGAGTATGTTTATCTGGAACATAAATGTAAATGTTTTGGACAAACTCAACATGAATTGTGGTATATTATGTTGTAGTGTTCTTACCTTCTCTTTATCACTTGCTTCTCGAAAAACCAATGACCCCTATAAAATAAAATATTCCTCTGTCATATTTAAAAAAAATATATATGCATAACAATAATTAATAATGCTTACAAAACAATAGCTGATCTATATGAATATGAAACAGTAATGCTACAAATTATAATTAAATAAATTTAATAGATGCCTTAAATGGTCAAATTGACTGAAAAACAACAACCTTTATACATGTCTAGTCACCATAACAAAACAAGTCTGTTGGTGATCCTTCCACTTCTTCACTTAAGTTGTACTGTGTTTTGTAAAACAAACTAAACTCGTAACAATAATTCCTCACCATGATAGCTCAATAACAAATGATTAAAACAGTAATTAAAAATGTAGACAATGAGTAAAGGATGAATTTTATTTACCTTGAGGTCATATTTCCTGTGGACAGTTAGTCGGTGGCTGAACATATTCCTCATGACTAAAAGGTATGTGTCTTCATTGTCCACAGTAACACGGTACAAGCCAAGGAACTGAGGAAGTAGTGCACTACCATGGCACTTTACGATGTGCTGAGGTGACACACACACACACACACAAAATAAAATAAAATAAAATAAATAAAGGGAATAAAAAGTACTGGCCTGTTTAGGTTTGGTAAATTGCTTTATCTATATTTATGCTTGGTGTGTCTGAGGAAATCTGTCCATCCAAACATCTTTCCAGTTCATCTTAATATCAGTTGCTTGGTTGACACAGTGCCTCCTGAGCATCCATCTAGACTAGCTGAAGACCAGGTTGGCCAGGTGAAACCATCTCAAACTATCTACTGTAAGTGGGTAAGTCATTTTTTATTAGTAAGAAACTTCTGAAAACAAAGTATTGTGTTAAACAGCATATTACTTAGTGCAGTTGTATCTAGAATCCTGACATTTCATTTGAAAAGACTACAAAGATTATGACAACCAGTGTCACAGAAATGGCTAGAAAGAAACCAGACAACGATAATTATTACTATAGCAGTTTATCCTGCAGTTTATAGGTTGATTGTCAGAGAAGCAACCAGAAAAGTGAAGCAGCCAGGCACCTATGAAATAGAATGAGAACCAATGGAGCATTGCGACAAGTTTGGGGCTGAGAGGCATAGAGACTTAAATGCAAACTGGGGCCCTGGAGGACAGGACATGAGGACACAAGGAGATCAGCAAATAGAGAAACAGGAGGACTGGCAGGATGTTCTGTCAGGACCACTATCATCAAAGATGATTGACAATTAGCAGACAGTTTGGATTGGCAGTACGGTTCTGTTCTGGGCAAGAACTCCCTGTGCATCCATGCAGTCTAGCATGGATGAGAGCAGGGAGAACAGCGATAACCCCCCCAGAGTAAACAGAACAGAACCAACATAAATGTACTGCAGATATTGTTAAATTTCAATAATATTATGTACACATTTTAGAATTAGTCTGATTCAAAGGAGAATCAGAAGACTGAATCCTGACTGACAGAGGAGGTGTTGGGGATGGAGGAGGGTAATTAGCTATTGACCAATGCGAAAACTGCTGATAATACTGAGGGACATTATATATGAATGCTATATATGTGTCGTATTCCCATCTGCCTTTAACAGATGACCTAATGAATATGTTGCCAATACCTTAAAAGCTTAAGCAGCATTCTCAATAACACCAGCTAGACTTAAGGAAAACATGTTCCAATTCAACTACAGCTTTCAGAACAAGCATGTTCCGAATAACGACTGGATTGCTCTGGAACTAGCATGTTCCCAACAATACAGCTATAACTTAAGAACAAGCATGTTCCCAATAACGACCAGGTAGCTTAAGAACAAGCATATTCCCAATCCGACTAGACATCTTAAAAACAAACATGTTCCCAATACAACTACAGCTTTTAGAACAAGCATGTTCCAATAACAACCAGTTCCCCTTCAGGAACTCGAGCTGCATCGAGAATCGCTTTGGGAACGCTCCTGCGTGACCGCGTTCTGAAGCACATGTAAAATCAGTCCAATGGAGCAGCGAGACATCATGAGCGGGATGACGTGAGCACCAGGAAGTATAAAAAGCGCATCCGGTAGAGAGCAAGTTAGCTTCTGCTCTTCTACTCTCGCCTGGCTGTGTTTGATGAGAGCGGACAGGCTCACGGTCCCGCTGGAAGCGGTCCAGCTGTTGCCGAGGCACAGCGCAGACTGTTGTCGTGGGGATCGCAGGTGGATTTAGCAGAGGGATCCGAGACGGGATCGTCCTTTTCTCGGTCCTCACCCGCTAGATCCATGGCTCCCTCTCAGGGATCGGAAGCGTATGAGGAGCTCGTGGAGGTTGTGACTCATGCTGTAGCCAAATTAAATATCTCTTGGCCAGCCGAGAAACAGGATGCTCGTCCTAAAAGTAAATTAGACGAGCGTTTTCTGAAATCCAGATCACAGCCTTCACGACAGGGCCTTCTGTTTTTCCCCGATCTCCATGCTGAGGTGTCAAGATCATGGGAGAAACCGTACTCATCCCGTATTTACAGCCCCACAATCTCAAATTATTCCAACATCGTGAGGCTGAATGATGAGGGATATGGGGCGATGCCAGTGGTGGAGCAGACGCTTGCGAGCTATCTCTCCCCATCCTCCGCATCGTCCCTGAAGGCCCCGAAGCTTCCCACCAGGCCCGCTAGGCTGACATCGAGTCTGGTTGGGAAAGCTTATAAGGCTGTGGTTGAATCTGTCTGAAATGCAAGATAAGGACAGATTCTTCCTCCTAGACGCCCCGCTCTCGCCTTCTGGCCTTTTCGGTGACGCAGGTTTTAGGAGGCGAAGAAGTAATCGGCGGCGTTCCAACATTTCCTCCCTCGTCGCTCCCAAGCCCATGGGGCTGCTGAGCAGGAGCAGCCCAAGCCGTCAAGCTCCTCGTATCGCCAGTCTCAAAAACAGAGCGTTGCAAACCGCACCCCTCCACAGAAAGATTGGGGGTCGGGGTGACGCTCTCAGTCGGGGTCTTCTAGACCGAAAACGAATCTGCGGACCATTATTGACTAAGAGGACCTCGGCTAAACGGTCCTGACACCACCATTGACAGGTCCCTGAGGGCAGCCCCACCTGGGGAGGAAAGGATAACACCTGAGTATACGGTGCCCGATCCTCCTCAGTGCCCTCACGGAGGTTCATTGATACCCCTGCCACCCTCTGTGCTTCAGGGCTCAGTGAGCTCCGACAAGCGAAAATCCCAGCTGCCGCCCGTCAATGGTACGGCACGGGAGAGCACGCCCCCTCAAGTGAAGGGGCTACAGCAGTCAGGTCAATTGTTCCCTGCCGGTCATCCGCTTCAGGGAACCGAACTGGCTCCTCTAATAAAACCAGAGGCCAGCCTCGAGAGGCTGGTTCCCTTAGTAGATTTTCTGGCAGTGTGGAAACTTCTGCCAAATATCTCAAAATGGGTCCTGCAGGTTGTAGAAAGGCTACAGAATCCAGTTCGGTTCTCGTCCGCCTCATTTCAACG